ATTTGAATAATTTAAAATAGCATTAAAAAAACATTTATTAATATTGGAGATAAATGATATTTGGAAAATTTAATAATTATTCTTTTTCTTATGATTAAAATTTTTCAAATTAAGTTTTTACAAGTAATTCTAATAAATGAAAAGAAAATAAATGTAAATCTTGAACGTAAAATATATTTATGATATACAGTAGACCCCCCTATAATACGGTAGATACGTTCCATTTTATATAAATTCCGTGTTTTACGATCACTTAAATACATGAGCCAATCACAACCTGGCATGTGTGCAGTTTAGGGACTACGGCTGTTTGAAAGGTTTTCTTCCATAAAATTAATCGATTCTAGACTAATTTGACTCAACATTTCCAAAACACATGTAATTTTTTGGGAATAATCCATATAAACTATGCTATAAACCAGTGTTTCTCAACCTCTAACGAATTGTCGCCCCTTCAACAAAACCATTACGTAGTATCGCCCCTTCGCTTCAAAATTCGGATGCCCAGGGCCAAGGCTAATGCCAAATTCGTGCTGCATCGAATAGACTAGTGACTACTATAATGTTATTTGTTTAATTATTGTACGATATAGCGAATAAAATATCTAATTATTCTTAATATAATATTTTAATATATTGCCCAGAAAATTGTTTTTCGCCCCCAAAATATAAATTGTTACTAATCGCCCCTTCAACATAGAAAAACGCCCACATGGGGGCGATATCGCCCCCATTGAGAAACACTGCTATAAACAAAAAATAATATTGTAGGATTACTTACCAAGTGTGTACTGTTCAACGACACCATTGCTTAAGCTTGTTTTCGTTGTGGAGTGGCGCATCAAGCAGCGGGCACATGTTTTCTGATAAGTTATTTTTCTGCGAAAAATTCGCTGAACTTTGGAGACATCATTAATATAATTTTTATGGCCATTAAATAATAAATGGTTTTTAGTAGGTCCGCTGCTTGTTTAAACTCAATGGTTTGTGCAATATCCGCTATTGTCTAGATTCAACCAATCCTGTCGCAACATGAGTCGGTGACGATGTTTTACCATATTATACGAGTCTCTTTTAGTGTGTTTATACAAATACAATCGCAATTTTTTCACCATATTATACAAATCTGTATTATATGAACCCATTTTATAGGTGGGTCTACTGTACTCTAAACAGATTATGTTACTTCTTTTTTCGACGCAAATAAAATTAAAATTTAGTTTGATATCACTTCATAACACAATTTCTCAATTTTTCACAAAAAATTTAAAGACTAATTGTAAAAAAAAAAAAACAAAAATTAAGATAATGAAATCAATATATAAGTAATAAATAGTCAGTTATTAAATTATTAAACTACACTTCAAACTCATAAGTTAACAAATAAATTTAAGTTCATAAAATCTAATTTTTTTCAAATTATGAAAAATTTCTGTAAATTTTTCACAATTATAATCAATACTAAAAACACAACTTTGCTTGGGATTTTTAATATTGATGTTTGCAAAAACAAAGCATTAAAGATATTATATTATTGCAAAAAGGTAAAGAATTTTAGCTCAGGCCAATGGGGATTAAGGAAGTTTGTATCCTGTACACAAAGTTGGCCAACTAGTCAGATAATTGATAATGGCTGTTATAGAAATTTAATGTAGAATTAATCTAATCACTCTAGTGAGCCAGTGTGAACCCATTTTTAAAGCTAATTTACACAATGATTATTGCAGACATTTTGTCACACTCAAAAATACATCAAGATTTGTCAGCGATTCAAACATTTACTTGATGTACTGGAATTTTACATTGAAACAGTTCTGAAACACTTACAAGAGCTTTTGTTTTTCTCTGTCAAGTATGGTAAGAATCAAATGCACTCTAATAAATTATTCTGATTTCATCAATCAGTTCAACAACACCGCAAGCAAAAAATCTGACGGGCTAGATTTTCTGTGACACTACTACATCTTGTCAAACAAGTCACCAATAAGTCATTAGTTTGTTAAAACAATCTTGCAGCAACAGGTAGGGAAAACTGTAGAAAAATAAAAGAAACTGTTTTAAAACTAAAAATATACTTTTATTTTATTAAATATGCACCATTATTTTTAATGATGTTTTGCCATCTACGAGGGAGCTTCATGATACTCTTTTCATAGAACTTTCCAGTTTCTTCCATGATAAACTGATCCACGTGGTTTTTGCAAGCTTTCAAAGTATCAAAGTTTTTATCATGAAGGGAATTCTGCAGAGAACAGAACAAATGGTAGTCTGACAGTACAAGGTCAGGTGAGTATGGGGGTGGGGTAAAACATCCCAGCCTAGTTCCAATAATTTTTGCGTGTTCGTAAAGACGTGTGCAGACTAGCATTATCTTGGTGAAAAACAATGCCTTTTCTATTGGCCAGTTCTGGATGTTTTTCTTTAATTGTCACATTCAATTTATCCATTGGAAACAATACTTATCATAATCAATTGTTTGATTCTGTGGAAGCAGCTCATAGTACAAGATTCTTTTCCAATCCCACCAGACAGTGAACATGACCTTCTTTGGATGAAGACCAGCCTTTGGAGTTTTTAATGGTGGTTCATTTTTCTTACCTTATGATTGTTTTCGGCCGATGATGTTATAAATGATCCTCTTTTCATCACCTGTCACTAAACGCTTCAAAAGAGGATCATTTTCATTTATTTTTTCAAGAGAATTACAAATGGAAAAGTGATCCAGTAAGTTCTTTTCCATTAAGTTGTGAGGTATCCAAATGTAGTAACGATTCACATATCCAAGCTTCTTTAAATGTTGAAATACAGTACCTTTTGATGACTTCACTATGTCTGCAATCTCTCGAGCTGGATAATGAGGGTTTTTGTCTATGGTGGGAGTGCTGTAGCAGAATCAACAGTTTGAAAGTGGTTTGCTAAATTTAAAGCGGGTAATTTCACCCTTGAAGATGCTCCCATTATTGAAGAAGACCAGATCAAGCATTATCGGATGAAAACCCTTTTCATAATAAACGCATCTCAAGGTCATTTATCATAATATTCATTGGTGTGTACAATTGTAGTCATTTTTTGCATCAGTGTCTCAACTGTCAAAAATCGCTACAAACTTTCCAAACAACCCAACAGTTTACTTTTATTAAAGTTTTTAGTGAAAAATAAGTCACAGCACATAGCTGATGCTTTGAGTTTACAAAATGGGGGAATCCCAGTAACTGTGGGACCCTTTATACATGCAGTTTGTACATTTAGTAATCTGCCACCAGCTCAGGTTAACTGGCCAACAACTACAAGTCGACCCCCCTATAACACTGTTGATTTTTCCATTTTATATGAATTCTATGTTGTACGAGTCACTTAGATTTTACAAATACGTGTACCGGACTGTGAACGGCTCACGTATTTGTAAAATCTAAGTGACTTGTACAACATGGAATTCATATAAAATGGAAAAATCAACAGTGTTATAGGGGGGTCGACTAAACTTCCAAATGCAGGTTCTCATCCCAAAAAGTGAGACGGTTGGTCAACAACTATGGTATCTTAATTGAGTTTTTAAGAAGTTAAAAGACGAGAATCTGTAATAGACATTTCTAAACAACGCAAATGGTGCTTGTTTCGTTCCTTCAAAGGTTATAACCAAATGAATGCATTCACGAATCTCGTAAGACTTTCTCTTAATGCATGCATATTCAGGCCATTTGTAATAGATCATTTAAGAAAATGACTTAAATTAAATGAAGATAACTTACCAAATCTTTTATTATTTAATCCAAATGTTTAAGTAAAGCTTTTCTAATAAATTTATTTAAAACATATTCTGAAGCAAAGCATACAGTACACACCGTACAAGTAGTTTCTCTGACGCGCTTAAGTGTTGCCATCTCGACAAATATAATTTATTTTAATTTAATTTTTTTACAGTACTTATTTTTTTTTTAATTTAAAGAATGATGNGTAACTATAGATTTACTGTTAATACTAAAATAAAGAAAAATAATGCTAAATTTGAATTCAATATTAGTAATGATGTATATTAATCTATATTAAAATCAAAGGAAATACTGCTCTTCTACTTAGAGTTAAGAGGTAAAGATTAGTAAGTATTCATAAAGGTAGAATGGCACATGTGTGGATTTATATGCAACAAAAAATTGATTAGCTTGATATAGGATTTCAATCTGCTGGTAGTTTAGAAGCATCTTCTTCTTAATTCTTTAATTTTAATATTATAATCTCACAGGTTGATTATTGTATATTTGATTTTATATTTTGGAGCTTTAATAAATAAATAAATGTAATCATTAGATTTTAGCCTGAGGAGGGGTGACTGATATGATTGTCATCTGAAATGCATAGTTAATAAGGTGTATGAATAAAGTATTATTCTGAAAGTTCCTTTGGTGCGAGTCTGAGTCTCTGATTAATGTGGATAAAGAAGTAAGAAATACAAATACTTGTTAGTCTTTAACTCATAACTCTAATAGAAGAATTAATTTACATCTGCACCATAATCCTTGATAAAACAAGGAATGATGATAAATTTGAATTCAATATTGGTAATAATCTATACTAATCTTACATAAAATATAAGGCATATTTTTAAGATTTTTCTATGTAATTTTTTTGTTTCTTCGAAGAGTTGTCAAAGACTGCAATAGCAATAGAAACATTCCATTCAAATGCAGTCAGACTTCCATATCATGAAATCCAAATAACAAATTTCTCTTTTCAATGAATTTTTATGTAAAAAGCTAAAAATATAACTTTTAAAACTGCTATTTAATATTACTTTACCAGCATATTCTCCATTTAATGAATTTTATGCATATTAAATTCTCCAAGTAATTATGTAATTTACAATGCTATCAATGTATTTAGTCTCAAATAAAGATACAATAAATTAAATAAACCATTAATCTCTCTCTTATTCATACAAACAGTCCTTAATTAATGCAACAGAAATGTTCTATGAAAATAGCATGTTAAGTAAAATCTATTCTAATAAGATTATATATCATAATGGTTGAATGCATTTCTTGGCCCTGATATAAATAGCTGAGATTACTCTAACACATTACTCACATTTACTCATGTTTAAGACAAAGTTTTTATTCATTTTTCACTGCTTCAAAAACCTAGGTTGTCCTATACGCATGAGTGAAGGATTCATTGCGTTTTTTGCAATAATTTTTGTTAATCATGTATTTGCAATTTTTACCAGATGCTCATTCTCTGGTGTTTAAAAACAAAACTGTTTTATCTGGATCATTTCAATCATTCTTGTGTAGTGTCAGGAATAAAGATGAATAGCAATAGGAAAAGCAAAGCTTTTGAATTGAATTCCAAATTGAAATTCCAAAAATCACACAGGAGCCTGATGTAAGTTTTAATCTATTCCCATGTGAAAACAGATGATTATTTGGCAATCAGAATTTGGAGAAACTCATGAATGTAATCAACAGAGTAGATTCGACTGTATCCAGCTTTACATAAACAAATAATGTTGACGATTTTACAAGATTTTCCTTAAAGTTTAAAATGCCAGTAATTTTTGTGGGACAACGCATGCATTTACACGCTTTTGATAATTTTATTTGTGATTAAACAAAATAAAATTAGAATTGTATTAATAAATCTAATTTTCTTTATTTTAATCTTTAAAGTTATACCTTGTCCTACATGCAAATAAATACAGTATTTCTCAACTCAAAAAATGATTAGTTATAATCCTATTATCATCCAATTATCACTCTCTTGAAACTTGAAATGCTCCTTATCTAGGTGCTGAATAAATAGTATTTCGAGCAAATTAGATGTACTGTTGTAACAAAAAGGTAATGATTACAGCAGCTCAAAATGTTCACAATGGAAATTTTCAATATCAATATCTTGATTGAGTCTTTCAGATATATTAAGATTTTTCTTGAGACCTCCATACTTCAAAAACTTCAAGAATTTATGGTAAGAAGACATCCAAAAAATGAAAATAAAAATAAAGTACAGCTTATATTCTTTATGTTTTTTTTTTTTTAAATAAATTTTATTATATTATATCCAAATAAAAATATTTATGACAAATTAATTTTCCTACAGTTCCAATTAATAACATTTCCTGAATCATTATTCCAAAAGATATATCCCATAAAGTAGAATCTAGCTTTGTGCCTTTATTTAACTTAAAAAAGAAATGATGCATTTATGTTTTATTCTTAAGTTTAAAATTTGTGTTCAACTTTTATCTGATGACAAAGGCAGTATGTCTTCCAAGTACTGGCAATTTTTAATAAATACATGTTTCTGAAGTCAGTTAGGTGTGATTTCTCTCCCATATCACAATCCCAGTGTAAAGTGAAAATTGTTTTTATCAATTATCAGCAAAGTAAAATCCACTTTGTGATTGCAGCTATTGTTATCAGTCATTTAATATTATCAGAACTAGTATGTCCTATGTTTAAATACAGTTTAAAACCTCACTGTAATCAGAGTTTTGGTTATTGTCATTATTATTTTTAGATAAATAGACCTTTTTTAAATTGACTGTATTTTTGTGATATTGGCCTCAACCAATACTTTAAACATTAAACATTTATCATTTCAATCATTATTTGCTGGCAATATAGTTTAAAATGCAAGCATTTCTTACTCAATTACATTATAACTCTTACTAACAAGTATTTATCAATATTTACTCTGCTTAATGTTATCAGTCAGTTATTATAATTATTGAGTTCATAAGGGACAACAATATGCAGGTTCCACTGTCTACAAAAATTGTCCATAATTAATAAACTGTGCTAAAATAAAAACATATTAACTAAAATATATCATCTGAGGATTACTTGTTTTTATTATATTTTGCAATTATTAATTTGATAACCATATTAATAAATCAAATTATTTCTTGAAAATTTTAAACATAAATGTATATTAATAAATATTCAAATTATAATAAACAATGCTTTTTATAAAAAATTTATTATTNTAAACACTATTTTTTTTATTTTTGTTGATATTTATTTACGGTTAACACGATAGCTTTATCCTGTAAAAATCTTTCTGTACAAGGCAAACAACACATGCGGGAAAAACCAACATTATTTAGACAGAAGGTATTTTATTTTATTTTATTTTCTTTGGAATAAAATCTCTTTCCGTCAGTTTTAAAAATTAAATTAAAGTATTTTTAAACTAACTCTGTAATAAGAAATAAGTTTTTTTTTTGTATAGATAAAAGAAAAATCAATATAAGTAGGAAAGGTTTAGAAATTTTACATAATACCGAATGAATTCTAAAAAAAAAAAAAAAGTTATTTAAATTTTAATGATAAGCGTATTGTAAAATTTATCTAAAATATTACAGATTTATTGTTTGTTTACTTATAAATTAAAATATTATAATTAAAATATCAACAATCATAAGCACATATAGACTTTTTCGTGTTAAAAACTAAGCTTATAAATTCAATTTTAGTTTAAATACTGTTATAACAGAGAGAAAGTATGGCGATCCGGCAAAAATAATAGCAACCCCCTCCCCTAGATGTTTACATTTTTAGGCTCAGGACACCTTGAAACGTCAAAAAAATCGAGGGTAATTTCTTTATGTATGGATATTTGTATAGGTATGTGTATATGTGTATGGGGGGTCACGATTTTGTTCACCCTGTTTGAAGCTTAATAACTCCTATGCTTTTTGTCGAAAATTTCTGAAATTTTGCACAGAGGTTTATGTATTAGAGGGATTGATATTATTACACCGAACTTTCGATTATCCTTACCAATTAGTGAACTGTTGTGCACGAAAAACCGAAAAAAAACGTGGATAATCTAAAATACTTCTCCAAACTATTAAAAAATTATCAGAGGTTTTAAAAATATTGTGTAGCAAATCTACTGTTTATAGTGTATTAGTGATGATTTTTTTTCACGTGTGTTATTCTATCAAAAAAATTTCTAAAGTTTCGTTTGTAAATTGAAGTCAACTCCCGTGGACGTTTTAGACGTTTCTTGAAAAGTCAGCTGTTCTTGAAAGCACACTGATGATGTGTATACAACTTCCTATTCATAACGTTGTCTATGCACAAGGTGGCCAAAATAATTTCACGAATAATCTGCAAAACGGATAATTGGCAGCTCGGTATATATATTAGTAAATATAATCATTCTTCAGCTATTCTCAATTTTAACTTATTACAAATATAAATATAGTTACTAGGATAACAGTTAATTATCACACAAGTAGAAGAAAACTAAATTTTAAAAAATCTAGTAACGAGTTGCTTAACTTTTCCGGCAACAATTAGTGGCGCCATCTGTTATTTTATTAAAAACATTTTTATATTTTTTAACTATTATAAAATCGCAAAAATCTTAATTTTTAGGGTAGGAATGGGTTTTATAAAAAAATTATAAATGTTAACAACGAGTAAAATCGTTATTAAGTCTGACCCTACTGGAGATACACACGACTCCCNAATTTATGTAATAGGCCTACGTCAGAATACTGAACCATTACTTATGAACCAAATTATGACGGCCCCGAAAAAACAGGCGGTTATATTCCTCAATCACTTCGTCCTCCAAATGCAGGAACATCATATGAACATTCGGCGCCCGAATTATACTACCTACCAGCTGAACTCCTACAATCAACTCTTCACGGATAGGGAGCTGAATACTGCAATAAATAAAGGACGGAGGGCCGACGGTGTCACGGCAAACATACTAAATGATTTCAATAGACAGGCCAAGTGCCATCTTTTGGCGATTTACAACACCCTGTGATCGACGGGCAACATACCGTCGAAGATGAAAAACACTATCATCCTTCCCATCCATAAACAAGGGAAAGATCTTACTATAATGGAAAATTATCTACCA